CGTGACGATCACGCATGATAAGACCCTTAGCAGAAGAAAATAGTGAGAAGGAAGGCTTCAGTGGGGAAGTAGTGGAGAGCAGTACCCTCCCGTGCCACGAATTGAGAGTAATAACGACGTTATTACAGGAAAATTACGGAAGCGGAGGCTCGGCACCCCAGAGACAGTTTATGGTGAAGGACTATAATAAACTGACTTTTTAGCTACTCTGATGCCATAAAACTTTGAATTAACACCGGTTTTGTTTGATCTTTTAGAATATGAGTAGCTAGAAAGAGGAAAGGGTCAACCCACATATTCTGATCACGTAGTCTGAGGATCCGAGACCCAGCTATGTGGTTGTGTTCGCATGTAAACGAAAGCTGATCAAAAGTCGTTTGACTGATGGCCTGAAAGTAGTATCTTTTTACTGGGTGAAAATGTTCAAAAGGCAGTGAGATGTAGTATAATGCCATTTGTGACACGTAGTGAGTTGAGGTGGAGTAGATAAATTTCATTTTCTAATGCGATTTGTAAGGTTGATTATAGGGAACTGGAACACTACTTGACGATAACGCTGTGTTATGCGATCAATAGGGACATTGATGGGAAATGTCCGGGGATTATGTGCCATTCTGCCAGACTGGCACAGCGCAATCTTCCGGCGAAACACGAAAAAACGATTAAAAGCCTTAAAGACAAAAAAGTGCTGCGAAGGAGGGTAGAAATATTTAGAAATTTCAATTTTCAAAATTTCGATTGTCGAACGAATATTTCTCAGAAATACAAAATTGGCCATTTTGACTGAAAGAGGTAGAAAAAATAGGAACAACAGCAAATATAGTGAAAATTTTGAATTAACACCGGTATTGTTTGATATTTTAGAATATGAGTAGCTAGAAAGAGGAAAGGGTCAATCCATGTCCAATGGACTTAACATAGAATTGTCACCAAAAACATAGTAAAATAGGTTATTCGAGCCGTGTTTTTAATAGCAATCACGTAGTCTGAGGATCCGAGACCCAGCTATGTGTTTGTGTTCTCATGTAAACGAAAGCTGATCAAAAGTCGTTTGACTGATGGCCTAAAAATAGTAACTTGTTACTTAGCCCTAAACAGACCAGAAAACCAACTGGCAAGGTAGAGACGGTGAAAAACGAGTAGAATTAAGGTAACTGACGACTGCCAGTCGTTAATAGGTACTTTTTCTACGCTCCGTCACTGTGTAGTATTTGGGCGAATATTACAGGGTTAGTTTTAATTGACATGCTAATTTTTAAAGTTTCGAATTAGACGTGAACGACAAGTAATTTTTTTATATTTCGCACACACTGAAACGGCGAAACAGAACAACAAGAGTTGCAGTGAAAACAGCTACGAGAAAATAACGAAAGATTGAAGTTATGACTGTAAGTTGTCAGAAACCACTCCGAGTTGTAACGATTGTGCCGCTACAATCGTTTTGTTACCGAACAGTTCACAAGAACAAGGAAGGGCGTTGGGACGACGTGTCCAGCCTTCCGGAAACAAATAGGAGTGCTATTTCCCGGATTCCAAAATCCGGAGTGGCAAACGAGACTCAAACTGTTTTATAAAAACTTTTAGCTTCCTGGTTACGTCCTGAGTTGAATTTAATTACCATCCAGATTCATTATCAGAGAATGAGAAGGTAGGAGTGAGGGAAAGGGTTGATCCATTTTCGATTGAGTTGATGATTTTTATCTACTGAGAAAAAAACAATAGTAATATAAAAAATAGTAGTAACCCTGTTTTTAGGAGTGACCTCGTGGACTGGGGATTTTGAGACCCAGCCATGTGCTCACTATTTTGCATATAATTAAGTTAGTTTGAGTGTTTTGACCGAAGCCGGAAACAGTAACGTTTTGTCGACCCGATGTTAGAAAGACCACCAAAAGAACTGTCTTGGCAGGGACGGTGAAAAGCCTGTAGAGCTGTGTTTAGACGCTAGCCAGTCGTTTTAGAGCCTAGCTTTATTTTCCTTCGATATGTACTTCCGGTCAAATGTTACATTTTTGGATGAGATGACTCGAATCATAATTGCGAAAAGTCGATAAAGTATGTGCTAGAGTAAAATTTCTTTTCGCAATTTCACTGAAATCAGCAAGTCGAGTAGGGTTGTCTTGTTCCCGACAGAGAACATCGCGAATTCAACCGAGAATGCCCTCGCTGGGCAAAAGAGAACCCTGATTTGGCAGGCAGACGAGTGAAGCTGCCCAATGGTCCAAACGACTAAAATTCTTGAGTCAAAACTTCTTATTCCCAAAAACTTGTAGAGTTTTTTCTTATTTGATTTAATCAATTGTAGAGTCGCGTCACTATGTGAGTACTGAATTTAATTTCTTGAGTTTGTCTTACCCGATTATGTTGAGATAAGGCAGGTTATTGGATATAGCTTGATCCATCTGAAATGGATCAAAGGTTCACTGCCCAGTAAAAACTTGAGTTCCCCACCCTATTTTCAGGTGGGGAGTTCGCGTGTTTTAGGTATTTGGAGACTTAGCCATGGGGGCGTTCCTATTTCTAAAGTGCGGAGGGCGAGGGCGTATTTGGTAGTGGCCTGCAAGCTGTAACACGATTCTGTAGTCCCATGTTTTAAGCGAACCAAATTGGCTCCGACAGAATGAGGTACAAAACACAAGAGATAGTGTACCAGACGCTCGAGCCAATTGTTATAGGGCCTCTTTTTCCTAACCTCATGTGTGACATGAGCGGACGACTGTTAAACTAACTCGAATTTTTCAAAAATCACCGTTTCCCCAAAAATCAAGATAAATTTCAGAATATGACCGATCGGCACATCCCGTATCTTTGCTTCACTTCAGTCTGATGATAATTCATATTTGATCGGAAATGTTCTCATTGATTGTTTTCTTTATATCATATTATAATACTTTGCCTCCTTGTTTCAATAATACCAGGTAATTTAACACACGATCAAAACGACATCTAACAAAAATGACATGAAAACCTCAATTGCTTGTAACATATTTCGTCTGCAAACAAATGCGTCTGAAGAAGTGCAAGTCGGATTTCTGGTTTCGGGCATGTCGCCTTGCTAATCTGTACAACGAATACTTCAAACGTGACATATTGTTTGGCCCAGAATGCAAAAACAGACTTCAAGGAATGTACACAACACAAAGTTTTTCAAAACTCGCTACAACGAATCAGACACATGCACTTGGCGCATTTTATGCGAATGCAAGAATTGTAGAGACCTGAAGAAACTTACACTTATAACTGAAAACTAAACTTGGAACAATGCAATGACAGGGTTTTATGCGAACCCTTGGATTATCTTCCTAAATCCTTTGTTTCTATCAATATGATTACTTTTTTTACAATAGCGAACCATATCCATTTAATATGATTTTAAAAGATTTCATAAGTTTTGCAAGCTAAACGTTAAATTATTTCACTGGTAGCATATTGATTGTGTTACCACTTATTATCCTTTTTTCATATCCTCCTTGATCATTGAAATAATTGAAGTGTTGTGCCAGTCAGTCATATTTGGAAGTTTGACCTTGAGGAATACAAACTGTGCAATTTTGGGAGAAAATTTAAATTTTCAAAAAATTCGAATTGAGCCTGTCATGCTCAACTTTCCGTCGATATGTGCTTCCGAGCGAATGTTACATTTTTGGATGAGAAGACTCGAATCATAATTGCGAAAAGTCGATAAAGTATGTGCTAGAGTAAAATTTCATTTCGCAATTTCACTGAAATCAGCAATTTGAGTAGATTTGTCTTGTTCCCGACAGAGAACATCGCGAATTCAACCGAGAATGCCATCGCTGGGCAAAAAAGAACCTTGATTTTGCAGGCAGACGAGTGAAGCTGCCCAATGGTCCAAACGACTAAAATTCTTGAGTCAAAACTTCTTATTCCCAAAAACTTGTAGAGTTTTTTTCTTATATGATTTAATCAATTATAGAGTCGCGTCACTGTGTGAGTACTGAAATTAATTTCTTGAGTTTGTCTTACCCGATTATGTTGAGATAAGGCAGGTTATTGGTTATAGGTTGATCCATCTGAAATGGATCAAAGGTTCAATGCCCAGTAAAAACTTGAGTTCCCAACCCTAGTTTTAATGGAGCTCGCGTGTTTTAGGTATTTGGAGACCTAGCCATGGGGCGTTCCTATTTCTAAAGTGCGGAGGGGGACGGCGTTTTTGGTAGTGGCCTGCAAGCTGTAACACGATTCTGTATTCCCATGTTTTAAGCGAACCAAATTGGCTCCGACAGAATGAGGTACAAAAACACAAGAGATAGTGTACCTGACGCTCGAGCCAATTGTTATAGGGCCTCTTTTTCCTAACCTCATGTGTGACATGAGCGGACGACTGTTAAACTAACTCGAATTTTTCAAAAATCACCGTTTCCCCAAAAATCAAGATAAATTTCAGAATATGACCGATCGGCACATCCCGTATCTTTGCTTCACTTCAGTCTGATGATAATTCATAATTGATCGGAAATGTTCTCATTGATTGTTTTCTTTATATCATATTATAATACTTTGCTTCCTTGTTTCAATAATACCAGGTAAATTAACACACGATCAAAACGACATCTAACAAAAATGACATGAAA